TTGAAGCCTGGGACCAAGGTGTACATGTAGGAGCCCACCAGGTGATCTTGATGCCCATCGTGTGCCTGATCGCCGTGAGGATGTTTTGATGCTCCGCGTCTGCCAAGTTCCAACCGTACCGGTAGTCCACAGGAAACGCCATCTGTAGACCGAGCCGCATACACCTGAGGGAAAGACGACCACTTCCAGACATACGTTCCTGCATGTGTACCTTGAAGCCTTTCATATGATCCATCCACAACGTCGCGTTGGGAGGGGTAATGACAGGCAACATCGTCTGCTGGTAGAATTCCTCAGGCCACGCCCGGTACTTCCGTTCAAGCTCAGAAACATCGTCACGATCACAAGAGGTAGGCCACATATTCGCTCCTGTCCACGTGTCGCCAGTAAACGAGGCCCACTGCTTGTAGAACATCTGGCTGATCTGCATCGGTGTAGTCCGTGTTGTTATTGATGTTGAGCGTTGAGGTCGGCCTTCGTTCCGTTCTGCTGCATCTGCTTGATATTCTCTATGTCTCATTCTACTTTCTCAAGTGCTGCTGTTGAAGGCCGACTTGTTCTCGCTCGTCTGCGTTGCGCTCTCGCATTTGTCACTCGGAGTCTGAGGCGAATCCTTTCGAGCCGTGTGTCCATGATCTGGCAATAACGCGGGCGACGTGGACCCTGCAACGCTCGAGGAGCACGCTACAGGGGCTCCTGACCTGTGGCAGACCAAAGGGTTTCCTGAGGGCTCCGAGTGATCCACATGCAACGCCGTACTGACATTTGACTTCGTAGTCTGGCTAACATCAAAGATGAACTCCATGTAGTCCTTCACTGCTTGCCGTAGAGCTGAAGCTTCTTCTCCGGTGTTGGCCGTAGGGTCGTCGATCGGCAAGAGGTAGTGGCCCGAGTCCGTGTACAGAATACGTAAGAAGGAGGTAGGTGCCACCTTCTTGCCCATTGCTCCAATGTGATTGATGACCAACACCCCGTCCTTGTTGGGAAGAACATTCGTGTACATGGATGCCACATGCTCGATCATCGACTCGTTCGGAAGAAGGCAAGGGCACCGCGAACCTGAACCGCCGAGAAGATCCATCGTGAATGTGCTCCTGGGTAGCGCCTTCAGGTTCAGGGGAATCGTGCCGAGCCCAAGCGATGGACTGGCCTTGCCGTCAATACCGGACAACTTGGAGTGCGAGTTCTTCAGCGTGATGTCTTGGCCTTTGGGCCATAACAAGTGATCGCATATCTCACGTACCGTGTCCGTTCCGCCGAGTCCTTTGGAAGCACCTGGATCGACAATCAAACCCAAACGCTGCCTGCCACGCACGCTCGTCATGAGGATCATTTCTTCGTCGTGACAATTGGCTGTCGGATAGCAAGCGTTGTTGATCGCGAAGAGGTTCGTGTGAGTAGGCCAAAGATCAGACAACGAGCCTTTGTTCGCTCCGGCATATGAAACATCACCATCTGCGTCAAGTCGTCCAGGAGTGTCTGCTTTATCTCGAACGGGCCGATCTGGTAAACCGTAGGTCGAGGTGGAGGCCGAGCTTCTTGTCGCTGGAGGTCTGTCGGGTACTCCGCGGTTGTTCTGAATCTCGATACCCTTGACCAGGTCGCTGAAACTCGATTTGTGTCCTAGAGGCTGGTCCTCTCCTCCTTGTACGCTGAAACTCGACTGATGTTGTCGAGGCTGGTCTTCTCCTCCTTGCGCCGTTGTCGTGGGTGACGCCCAGGTTCCTGGAGGTGGAGAAGGTGCCGCCGAGGAAATTACGCTCCACGAGCCGTTCGAGGGACTGTCTTCTGAAATGGAGTCAAAGCCGGTCGACCAAGGAGGTGTCCGGCCTGCGTTGTTGAATTTCTGCCAAGCATTGCGAAATGAAGGAGACTTCGACGATTTGCCTTCCTTGCCCTTGCCGCGTCCTTTTCCTTTCTTTGGATTCTCGTCAGGGAGCACGTCGTCGTCCAGGTAGAAGTCGAACTCCTGCTGGCTCCATTGTGAGTAATCCAGGTCGTCAGGTCCACGATGTCCAGCGGCGAGAGCAGCTCCTGTGTGTTCCGCACCCGCTTGGTAATCGCTGAAGTGGTGTAAAGTCTGCGTATATCCTGCATTGGTTTTTCCATCTTGATTTCCAGCGGCTGCTCGATGCTTGGCTGGGCAGTCCTGGTCTCGATGCCATTTTGAGCCGCACGTACTGCATCCATTACTGTCCTGCTTGTTCTTCGTCTTGCCGCCGTTGCCTTTCTTGCCGTAGAGTGTGTCCGATGAATGGTGTTGGCCTGCGTCACGTCCTTTGCCTTTTCGTCCGCGTCCTCGACCTTTGAAGCCTTTTCCACGTCCTTTGCTGCGAAAACGTCCTTTGCCTTTTCCTTTCCTCTTGAAGCCGCCATATCGCCACTCGGGTCTGAATCCAGTCATCTGGTAGGCTTCCTCCAGGTCGAGTTCGTCAAGATAGGATTCTACTTCATCTTGATCATACCAATTCCAATAACTGTCATAAGCACCATATCGCCATTCACCGGATTCTGCAACCATATAATCTCGATAATGTAGGTCCGTGTCTTCGTCATATGTGAAATCTATATATTCGTCTTGATCTTCATCCGTATAAAAGGAGAGATGGTAGTCTTCGCCGTTCAGCTCCTCATCTTCGTACTCTCCGTAGTGTCCATGATGATGAGAGACTCCAGTTGCCATTTCTTGCTTCGCGATTCTGCTTATCATGCTGTAAATCTGGTTGAACTGTGTCAGGTCGCCGTTGTGATGAAGCTTTATATCTGCGACCCGTCTTGCTGGAAGGCCGCTCCACTTGAAGAGGAGGTGAGTCCGTCCAGTATCATTCAGCTGAAGTCCTGCCTTGCTCTCTGCTTCATCATAACGTTGCTTGAACCGAAGGAGAAAGTCCTGCAATGAACTCGAACCCCTGCGAGTGTCCCAGAACCTGTCCAATATCTCGCCCTGCTTGTCCTGGTCGTGAACCTCGAAGGCCTCCTTGAGGCGTTGGATAAGGTGCACGACACCTGCAGGATTTTCTGGCACAACAACCGATCCGTCATGAGGGTCGAGCACTGCATCTACTTTCGCAAGAGCAAGAGCCGCATCACCAGTATATGTCTGACCATTCCGATCCACTCTCATATGCATTGCAACCTCGAACGCCTGATCCAAGAGCCTGCTAGCAACAAGAGGCCCTGCTTCTTCATCTGTGATGGGAGTGATCCTCCACCAGAGGTGGAGGCGCTCGAGGAAGTTATTGAACGTGTATTCCGGTAGGCCCGGCTTCCAGCCGGGAGGTACATAGCGAGTGAACTCTGGAAGAGTATTCGGGAGCTTCCAGTCTGCTCCGCCACCGGCCGTCATCGCCCCGTAGGTGTAGAAGAAGGGGAAGAGGATGAGCTGGTAGATCACCACAAAAAACAGGAAGATCGAGAGGAACCTATTGAAGCTCCTCAGCGGGCCCTTGAAGAGCCCGGTGCAGGTGATGATCACCGTCTTGAGTATTCGCGCCTGGCGGCGCGCGGCGGGCGCTATCGCGCGCCCGGTGCCGGCCGAGGAGGGGCAGGCTGGAGCTGGAGCTGAACCCCAGCTCCGCTACCAAACTGAGATGTTTAGTTCTGATTGCGCAAAACCCTGAGCCCTAACAGTTGCAGTCCACTGCTGTCTATCGCTGTCTGCTGCTACCTTGCATGTGAAACTGACATAAGCTGATATTCTCAGTGGAGGAGGGGGAGGGGGAGGGGGAGGGGGAGGGGGGGGGAGGAGGAGGAGGAGGAGGAGGAGGAGGAGGAGGAGGAGGAGGGAGGAGGAGAAGAAGAAGAAGAAGAAGAGGTAGAAGAAGAAGAAGAAGAAGAGGAGGAGGAGGAGGACGAGGAGGAAGGAGAGGAGGGGGACGGGGGACGGGGGACGGGGAGGGGGAGGGGAGGAGGGGGAGTGGGAGGAGGGGGAGTGGGAGGAGGGGGAGGAGGAGGAGGAGGAGGAGGAGGAGGAGGAGGAAGAAGAGGACGGAGAGGAGGGGGACGGGGAGGAGGGGAAGTGGAGGAGGAGGAGAACAAGTGTAAAACCAAGAGTCATCAACGATGTTGCAATGAACCCTCCCTCCAAGCTCCCTCTTCATAGGCCCCCACAACGATTCATTTCCATTGTTGGAACTGCCTCGTTGGAAGACAACCGTTGGAAGATCCTGGAGCATGCCAAAACATTGTTCTCGGGATTTCAACGCTGCGTATCAACCTGACTGCTGCGTCTTGACGATCCAGACTCGTGCCAGAGCGTCATTTGGGGGACTTCGACACCGCAAATCAACATAACTGTTGCACACGCATAACCCTGAATCCTTCCTAAACACAATTTCTGGTACGTTGATCCTGGGAATCCGTGAAACTCTTGCACATGTTGAAAACGAATGTGCGCGGCGCCCAGGCGAGATCAGCTTCAAAAAAATGTGCGCGGCGCTAAGGAGAGAGCTACATTTTGAAAACAACCCGCCCTCAATCCGTGAAACTCTTGCAGTAGAACGAATGTGCACGGCGCTAAGGCGATAGCCACATTTTGAAAACCAGCCGCCCTCAATTCGTGAAGCTCTTGCAAATTTCAAAAAAAAAAAAAAAAAAAAAAAAATGTGCGCGGCGCTGAGGCGAGAGCCACATTTTGAAAACGGCCCGCCCTCCATCTGTGACACTGTTGTCACTTTTTAAGCTTCAGAGTCATAGATGGTGAGGAAGTCTCAGGCGAAACGCCCGGCCCGCCCTAAAAACTGGCCTCGGGGTGCGACAGGGAGAAGTTGTCTATAAGGAGAAGGAATGGAGGAGGAGGAGGAGGAGGAGGAGGAGGAGGAGGAGGAGGAGGAGGAGGAGGAGGAGTAGGAGTAGGAGGAGGAGGAATTCGAGGAGGAGCAGGAGGAGGAGAACCTTGGCCCTTCGGCCCCGGGTCCTCGACTACCGGGCCCTGCCGTGCCGCCCTGGCGCCCGCCAGTCGGACCGTGCCCGCACGCCGCGCGCTCCCTTGCCGCCGAGAGGCTCCGGGCCCACCGCGAAGCGGTGTACGCCCTGGCCATGCTGCGGTCCGGGGAGCTGGCCCCGGCCCCAGAGTCGGCGGAGGAGGAGGATGAGTAGGAGGAGGAATTCGAGGAGGGAGGAGGAATTCGAGGAGGAGGAGGAGGAGGAGGAGGAGGAGGAGGAGTTCGAGCAGGAGGATGACGAGGAGGAGGAGGAGGAGGCGGAGGAGGAGGTGGCGGAGGAGGAGTAGGAGTCGGCGGAGAAAAAGGTACGCATCCCGCGGCCCCTCCCCCGTTTTCCTCTTTTGGGGGGGGGGGGCCTCCTGGGAGGCTCTCGTCGTCGCCACCGCTGGATTCGCCTCGAAGGTCTGGTCAGAACGCACCCTGGGAGAGGTCCGGGGAGTCGGGGCTGTCCCTCTACAGGAGGAAAAATCAAAAATAGCTGTTAAACCAAAATAATAGTATGGGGACCATTTTTACCATTTTTGAATGTTGTTGGATCATTCTTTTAGTATTGGTAATTTTCGTCCAAATCCGCCTGTAGGGGGACATGTCCAACCTAAACCTTGTGGTTTCCCCACAGGACGACGAAAACGAGGCCGACGACGACGACGACGTTGAGGACGACGAAGACGACGACGACGACGACGACGACGACGACGACGACGACGACGACGACAACGACGACGACGAAGGAGAAAGGGAGAAAGGGAGAAGGGATCAGGGCAACGAGATGTTAGGGCCTCCCAAATGGAGTCCGAGTGGATGGGGTCGAAAGGTCGCTCCGCATCGACGATGCGGCTCGATGTGGAGCCAGAGTTCCTCCACGCCGATGGCGTCGATGCATCGCCGACGTCATCGATGTATAGGCGATGCATGTGTGATGCATGTGTGATGCGGCGCGATCCTCCGACCCCATCTTCTCGGACCCCATCTAGGATCCCTCAGAGACGGCGCGCGTCACCAGTGCCGCCAGCCAGACCTCCATGCGTACCTTGGTCTGGATGGGGGCACAGAAGAAGGGGACAGGGGGCCAAAGCAGATCCACGATTCTCCCTCTTCCCCCCCGTCCTCCTCTCTCAGCCCCAGACCCCCTCGCGTCGTGGAAAAAACATGACGGGAGGTTTTTCTTTGTTTTCGGCCTCCAGAGGCCATTACTTAGCATCGGGGTTGTCAACAAAAAAAGATTCGGGATGAACGGGTCCCCAGAAAGGGGTCCAGACCATTGGGGGTCCACGTCATACACAAATCATGACATGGGGGTCTGGGCCCTCCTACAGTACCACCATTCACCATCCTCCTCCCTCCTCCTCATCTTGTTCCTCCTTCTCGTCCTCGTTCCCCCTCTGCTGCACCTCATCCGTGCTCCTGCTCGTTCCCCTCCCTCTCCTCTTCGCCCCGCCCCGCCCCCCTTGGCCTTGGGGGGCGCGCCAGCGTTTGGGGGCCCCGCCCCCGAGAGGCGGCAGCATTGTTGGCTGGCGAAGCGGCAGGCCCTCAACGCCGCTTCGTCACTGTCATTCTGAGGTGAATGGATTCGCGGAGGAAACAAATCCTCGCCCCGCCTCCCTTTCCCCGAAATCTAGGCCTCCTAGATGGCGTCCGAGTAGATGGACTCGGAGGATCGCGCTGCATCGCCGATGCATCGACGTTGCGGCTCGATGTGGAGCCCGTGTTTCCCCACGCCGACGTCGCCGATGCATCACCGACGTCGCCGATGCACCGCCGATACATCGGCGATGCATTGGCGATGCGGCGCGAGCCTTCGACCCCATCTACTCGGACCCCATTTGGGAGGCCTCTACCATGCCCCCCCCCCAAACTGCATTTCCATGCCATTCCCCCGCTTGCCTGCCCCCAGCGTGGTTCCACGCGCCAGCGCATTGCGGCCACCGCTGTGACCGAGGGCCCCCTTGGTGGGAGCGGGGCCGGGCCCGCGGGGGACACCAGGGGGCCGGGGGGCGGCCCTTGAGCCGCACTCCCTGGTCTGTGGGCTGTCCGGAATGCTCCCCCCTCGGGGCCGTCGACCGATCGCCCTGGGTCGCGTCGCGGGCGGGGCTCGGCGGCGGCCCCCGAGCAGAGAGGGGTTCCGAGCGGCACCCCGGCGCGCCTCCGGGGTCGCCTTCTGCCCCCCCTTTTCCGGCGGGCGCCTCCACGGCGGCTGCCCTCTTCCCGCCAGTGGACCCCCCTCGTTCCGCCGCGGGCGGGAGGGGCGCCCCAAGCGCGGAGGGCCTCGTGGAGGATGAGTAGGGATTCGAGACCGCGCCCTCCCTGCCCTTGTGCACGTGGGCGCGGAATTGCCCAACGAGAGTCCGCGGAGAGCGGGAGAAAAGAGGCTTGCACTTGAGGGTAAGAGCGAGGGGCGCCTGTTTCTGTGTGACAGAGTAAGACCGTTCAGGCACCTATGAACAATCGTCTCGTGCGTGCTGCTGGGGTCAGAGAGTGAGCGAGGGCAGGTGAGTTTGGGCGGTGCTCGCGGCACGGGCGGAGGCGGAGGTGCGGGAGAGGGGAGCAGGGCAAGGTCGGATGGGCCTCCGACGCTCGCAGCGTCCGGGAGGAGCCCGGGATCCGCGAATCGGACGAGCCTCCAGCGCCCCGGGGGGGGGGCCGGGATCCGCCTGCCCACCTCCAGTGCTCCGCCCCCTCCTTGGTGCTTCAGTCCTGTCGCTGAAGGGGGGGCAGCAAGCTTTTGGGAACGGCATGGGGCCCTGCGCAGCACGCAGGGCTCCAGGAGCCGCCACCCTCAAAAAAGAGGTCCCCTGCCCTGCCCCTCTTGAACCACCACCGCACTGCTAGCAGGGTCGCGCGAGGACCCTGAGAGCCAGCGTCGCAAAGAAATTGCAACGCCACCAAAAAATAACGACCAGAACCCCAGACCCCATTTTTCTGCAGCATGTGTCGGGCCGGATCGATTTGTGACGGTCCCGGGGGCCCGAAACGGGGCGTACACGCCCGTTGCGACAACATTGCAACGCCAGGATTTCAGGGGATAGCCGTGGGTTGCTCAGAGAACTCACGCATCCTCGTGGCACCAGCCCTCTAATTATGCGCGTGGAGCCGCAGGATCCCTCCGGCCGAGCGAAAGGGGGGGATCGGCCAGGGGGAGGCTACGAGATCTGCTGCGTGTAGCTGGCTTCGGCCCCGCCGCCGGGCCCACTCCTCGACACGTGGGCGCCTCCCGGCGCCAGGACGACGCACCCTCCGGCGCCCGCCGGCCTTCGGTCGGAGACCCCGAGGAGACCGCTCGTGCCGGCGCCCCGCGGAGGGAGCCGAGGGAGGAGGCCAGCTCAGGTCACCGGCGCCGAGGACATCCGGGTGTTCGCGCGCGACGGGCCCCGCGCCCGGTTGCACAGGGGGGGAGGCAGAGGAGGAGGAGGAGGAGGAGGAGGAGGAGGAGGAGGAGGAGGAGGAGGAGGAGGAGGAGGAGGAGGAGGAGAGGAGCGTCAGAGGGGCCGATGAGGAGAAGGAACGCGCTGGGGAGGTCGGAAAGGGAAGAGGAGGAATAAGAGGAGGACCAGTGCAGCCCGAAGACTCATCAACGATGCTGCAACAAGCCCTCCCTCCAAGTTCCCTCGTCATAGGTCCCTGCAAGAATTCATTTCCACTGAGGGACGTGCCCCGTTGGAAGACAACCGTCTGAGAATCCTGAGCCGCGCAAGAACACCGTTCTTGGAATTTCAACGCCTCGAATCAACGTTTTTCTGTTGCGTCCTGACATGGAAGAAGAGGAGGAGGAGGAGGAGGAGGAGGAGGAGACGGAGGAGAAGGAGTAGGAGTAGGAGGAGGAGGGAGACGGGAGAAGGGAGGAGGAAGAGGAGGAGGAGGACGACGACGACGACGAGGGAAGGCTACGGGAGAAGAAGGAGGAGCAGGAGAAGGAGGAGGAGGCGAGGAATCGGAGGCGGAAAGGGAAGACTAGGAGGACGGCGAGAGTGAGGAAAACAGGGGAGAAGAGAGCGCAACGATTCGGACGACGGTTCGTCCAGGCCCCCTGGCCGCCCGTGCCCGGCAGGCCTTCCTCGTAGAGCGGGAGGCGCCGCATCTGGAACAGGGGTGGTGGGATAACCTCCCCCCTGGCGCGGACTGAGGGGTCCCCGTCTGGAAAAAATGGGCAGGCGGCGGCGATCAGACCTCTCAAGGGCCCGTCTGCGCCACCGTGCAGAGAGGGAGGGACCAGTTTTCAGCACGCTTTGGCATGCGCGCCTCGGCGCCCAGGGAACGGAGGCACCGCCTTGGGGCATCCCCCGCAGCGGCCCAGAAGAAGCAGGCGACGGATCAGGCGCCAGCAGTTCGCGACGCCCGACGAGAAAGAGGCCAGCACTGGCGTGCCGCCCTTTGAGCGTCAAGGAAGGCTTAGAGGTTGCCGCGGAGGGACGCCCCCATGACCGCAGCAGGCCGGGGGCCGACAACACAGTCTGAGCCCCAAGACTTTCCCCTGTGAAAAGCAGGGCGCGAGCCCCGGGAGGAGCACTTTAAATGAAAAGCAGAATGGGCACCGGGGGGGATCAACAATAATGATACCGGAGAGAAGCCCCAACCAAAGTCTTTTTATGGTGTTAGGGCTATGGGGCCATTGGGCGATAGGGCTATAGAATTGTAGGGCTATGGGGCCATAGGGTTTTGAGTTTATAGGGCTATGGGGCTATAGGGGAGGCCTGTAGGGCTATGGGCTCTGGGGCTATGGGGCTATGAGTCTATAGGGCTATGGGGCTATAGGACCATAGGGCTATATGGCTCTAGGGATATAGGGCTATGGGGTTATAGTGCTATAGGGCTATGGACATATAGAGCTATAGGGTTTTAGGGCCATAGGGCTATAGGGCTATAAGGCTATAAGGCTATAAGGCTATAGGGATATAGGGATATACGGCCATTGAGCTATAGGGCTGTTGGGCTATTGGGCTACTGGGCTATTGGGCTATAGGCCTATCGGGCTATAGGGCCATTGGGCTATAGGCCTGTGGGGCTATAGGACTATGGAGCTATAGGGCTATAGGGCTGAGCTCTAGGGCGGTTGGGCCATAGGGCTGTAAGGCTATAAGGCTATAGGGCTACAGGGCTATTGGGCTATAGGGCTACTGGGCCATAGGGCTATAAGGCTATAGGGCTATAAGGCACCTGGGCACCCAGGCACCCGGGCACCTGGGCACCCCAGCACCCGGGCATCCGGGCGGGCCGCGGAAATCGGTGACACACCTCACCCCTACAGAGGCAAGCTCTGATTGGGGAATACTTCGCCACCGGGGGGGATCAACAATACTAATTCTTTAGAAATCAGAACTCCATGATTTTAGAATTGTTCGCTCCGATCTGTTCGCGTGCCACTCAACACGTATATCCCAAACCTTCGGTACTCGCCGTCTTTGTCTTCGATTGTACCTTTTGGGTATATATCTTCCTTACCTGCCACGCGTATTTAGCGCAGTCCTTCAAACAGGGGAAGAGTGGACGGATGGAAGCGGGAGGGAGAAGGATGGAACACGAGCGAGATTAGCAGGAGGGAGGAACTAGGAGGAGAAAACACGTGGTAGAACCAGACGGGCACATCGGGCGGGTACGCCCTAACGGGCGGGTCGGGAAGGCGGGCCCAAGCGGGCAGGTCGAGCACGCGGATTGTTGAAGCGTGGGTCCTGCATGAATCGCGTAGAAGTCTCCGAGCGGTAGCGCACTCACAAGCAAATCGTGCAAAAGGCCAGAGCGAGAGCGTGATTCCTGAGTGCCGAGGACGCGGCATTTGAATGAATTGCAGGGAATTCCCACGCGAGAGCGCGATTCTTGCATAAATTCAGTCAGTCCTACGCGAGAGCGCGATTCTGGAATAATAAATTGAGGGTATCTAGCAAGAGCCGCTGTTGTTCTCAACCGGTAGCCAACAACACAATATGAGCCCCAATATCTTCCCTTGTTAATACATGATGCGACCCCAGGAGGAGCACATTAATTGAAAGGAAAACACCATGGGCACCAGGGGGAATCAATAATAGCCTTTTTGGGAAAAAGATAACAATCATTGTAATACTGTTCGTTTTCAACTGCTTGTGTATCAACCAACATGTATATTCCGAACCCTCGATGCCCGCCTTCTTCGTCTTCGATCGTACCCTCCTTGGGGACATGTCTTTCTCACTTGCCACGTGTGATGGAGCAGCCCTTGAAACAGAAAGATGAGGGCGACAGGGAAAAAGGTAGAAAGCGAGGAGGACAGGAGTGAGGGAAGGGATGGAGGAGGGGAGAGACAAGGGAGAGGCAGAAGGATGGAGCACGAGAGAGATAAGCAGGAGGGGGGTTTAGGAGCAGGAAAACAAGCGGTTGAACGAGACCGGCGGGTCGGGTCGGGCTGTCGCAGATGGACGGGTCGGGCGGGCGGGTCGCTGAAGCATGAGTCTTGCATGAGTTGCGAAAAAGTCTCCAGCGATAGCGCGATCACCAGGTAAACCGTGAGGAAGTGCAAAGCGAGAGCGGGATTCCTGAGTGCCGGGGGCGCGGAGATTCAATAAATCGCTCGGAAGTTCCACACGAGAGCGCAATTCCAAGGGTAAAGCACAAGGAGGTCTTGAGGGAGAGCGCGATTCTTCAATACATTCTGAAGAACTATCAGGCGGCAGCCGTTGTTGTAGTAGTTCGGGGGCCAACAATCCAGTTTGAGTCCCAAGGCCATCTTCTTCTTGCACAAAAAGTGTGCGAGCCCCAAGGGGGGCACTTCAAATGAACAGACACAATGTGCACCGGAGGGAGGGGATCAACAGTAGACGTTCCTCAGGAATGGGAGTCGAATAACACACACACAACTAACAAACAAGCAGAATCCAGGCCACGGAGTCCCATTTCACCCACGCACCCAGGGATGGTGTAAGATTGTTCGGCCCTCTCACTCTGATGTTATACCGTTCTCGGTCCACTAATCTTCGGCGCACCCGCTGGGAGGCAGGGCCATCCTAGGCCGCGGCCCGCACAGGCGGGGCCGCTTCGGCCTGGTCTGCACGGTCGCCGAGGAGGTGCTCTGCATGTGCACCGTGCCAGGCGGCGTCGGAGGCACCCCTCCGCAGCGGGCGGAAGGGCGCTCGGCATTTTGGAGTTCCTCCTCCTCCTCCTCGTCCTCCAGATCGTAGGGGTCGGTGCAGTCATCGGGCTACCAAAACGGACGGTGCATCAGGAACGAAGGGGATTGTCTGGCCACGGCGAACCTCGGCCACGCACAGGTTCCCCGACCCAGTTTGTATCTAAGGAACGGCCCGAAAACCAGAGCCCCTTCTGGGCCCACGGTGGTCCTCATTTCAGCGTCTTGACTGGAGCGTAGTGCAGCCATCGTTGGTAGTAGACGATTCGGCGGGATCCGAGGCTTGTCCGTTGATTCATGCGTTCCTCCTCCGTCTCGATGCTCAGTCTGTCCTCTCCCTCCCCGCTCTCCGCCTCCTCGCGCCCCTCGTACATCCTCCCCTCCCGCCCCCCCCCCAGCTGTCAGGCAGGCCTGTCGGGCGCAGGCGTTCTGCGGCGACTCGGCCTCGACGGCCGTCTGTGCGTCTGGCCAGGGCACTTCGGCGGCTCGGCCTTGACGCGGTGGCTGCTGGTGGCGTTGTTTGCGGCGGAAAACAATCCTCCTCCTCCTCCTCCTCCTCCTCCTCCTCCTCCTCCTCCTCCTCCTCCTCCTCCTCCTCCTCCTCCTCACCCCTTGCCCTAGCCATGGCCTGTGCGAAAGGCCTGCATATGAGCTGCAGGTCCTGCAGCCTGCTTGTCGTGCACGGCCGCGCGGGGTGTGCCGCGGCGGAGCGCGGTGCGCCGGCCACTGGATCCAATGGCTGCCTTGTGTTCTCTCATGCTTGTGGTTACGCCGTGCCCGACATCCACTGGGTATGCGCCCTGCTCTCCCCGCCGCGGGCGCCGCGGCGTACGCGTGACCTCTGTCTGGTGCCTGCCCGGCTCCTCATCATCATCCGCCGCCTCCTCCACCTTTTCCTCGTCTTCCTCCTCCTCATCCTCCCCCTCTTCCTCCGCCACCTCCTCCTCCTCGGCCACCTCCTCGTCCTCCTCCTCTTCCTCCTCCTCTCCAAGGGGGAGCTCCCCCAGAGGCACGGAAAATGTCTGGGGCTCTTTGGGGAGCGGACTTGGGACGGGAGGGTGGATTGCAGCATCGGTGATGCATCTTGTCTGAATTCTGCTCCTCCTCCCATCCCCGTACAGGCGCGCTCTTGGTGAATATGATTATTCGGAGGCTGGAGATCGCGCGATTCAGCTTGTTAGTATTAAGACGACGACTACGATTAGTACTACTACTACTACTACTACTACTACTACTACTACTACTACTACTACTACTACCACTACCACTACCACTACCACTACCTCGACGACGACTACTACTACTACTACTACTACTACTACTACTACTACGACTACTACTATTACTACTACTACTACTACTACTACTACTACTACTACTACTACTCCTACTACTTCTACTACTACTAAACTACTACTACTACTACTACTACTACTACTACTACTACTACTTGTACTACTAACACTACGATACTACTACTACTACTACTACTACTACTACTACTACTACTACTATTACTACTAACTACTACTACTACTATTA